GATGCTACTAACCGCAACAAACAATATATATATATATATATATATATATATATATATATATATACATGGTAGTTGGATGAGTTTATTGTTATCTAGGGTCTTGATTGACTGGCTCTGAAAGGGCTGTCTATGGTTAACCGGTGTTGCAAACAAGGTTATTGGGACGACTACACGCCAATGCAACTCACGGATCAAATGATGCAACAGAAGAAGGTCACGCCGTGACCTGACAACGGACTAAAGCCGCAATCAGGACGGAAAGACAGCCCCCCTCCTACTCTCACCCCCTCGCAGCGGATTAACGTCGAACCGAGTCGAACACAGTGAGAACAAAGGAGAAAAATAGCCGGTGGAGAAGACCACATATGTAAACGAATGTGTCAAGTACAACACTTCACAAGCACTGATGATATCACCTCGGTTGGTGATGAAACGCTTGCAAAGGAATTGCCAAGCTCGGCGAACAGGAGAAATTATATATATATATATAAAATCATCGATTGTTCCAAGCAAGGGGCCGCCGCCGCAGCAATGATAACAACACAAACGGGGGATGTGGGGTGAATCGGGATACAGAACAAAGTGTAAAGAAGGGTAATCAGTTAAACAATGGAAAACAGTGAATCACAGGAATAACAACAATTTGTGTGTGTGTGTTTCATCGTACACTTTTTGATGCCACTTTTGTATTATTTTTACATATTCACAGCCCCTGTTCCAAAGTGTAAAGAAATAAACTGGAGGACATGCAAAACACTTACTGCAACTATCCCAGTCCCGTATTGTTTGACTTTTTGTTCGTGCCAATCGGAGCGCGAAATTGTGAATAAACCGGTTTCTGGTGATTGATCAACTATCTGTGATAAGCCCGGGATTGAGAACACGTGAAGTTGGTAAACAAGCCACTACTCCACCAACTGACTAAATGAAAAAACATCAAACACGTGATAAGACACATATCACGTGATTGCGAAGTCCCTAAGAGTAACCTCCGTCCATTTACTCCCGTTCATTCATTCATTCACCCACTCACCTACGCATTCATAACCACCCTCCGCCTCCGCGCCACACTATGCTTTCCAATTAGCCCAGTGACATCACATCGGTGTAAACTCTTAATTGTTTCGCAACTATGTGTCTCAACTCAACCCATCAGTTTGATGTACTATAAAATGTGCTTTTTATGTAACCAGTTGATGAAGCTCCAAAAATAAGCTTATTGACTCACCCTTATAATCGTTCAATCAGCCATATTTTTGCACATTGCCAATTCGTAGGAAAATGATCTGTAGGGGAGTTCTGCAATCTTGTCATCAACAGTCG